CTCTCCCCTCCTCTCTCCCCCCCCTCTCTCTTTCTCTCCCTCCCTCCCTCCCTCCCTCTCCCCCCTCTCCCTCTCCTCTCTCTCTTCTCTCTCTCCACCCTCTCTCTCTCTCTCTTTCTCTCTCCCCACCCTCTCTCTCCCTCTCTCTCTCTCTCCCTCTCTCTCTCTCCTCCCTCTCTCTCTCCGGCAATCAATGCGTTTCTCTCTTTTTTCCCCTTTTCCCCTTCCTTCCCCCACCCCCCCCCCCCCCCCCCCCCCCCCCCCCCCCCCCCCGCCCTCCTGCATAAGCGCATCAAGGGCCGTCTTCCAAAGTTCATTCAAGGAGATCGGTGGAATCCCCTCGGCCTCGGAGAGCGATCCCTGGTTGAGTCATTTTTCTTTTTTCCATTTTTTTTTCTTTTTTAGATTCCCAGGTGTTTTTCCTTTCGCAAGTCTAATTTCCTTTTTTTCCCCTCTGAATCTTTCCCTAGTCCATTTAGAATCGTCCTTGAGCCTCGCTTGAGGGCGAACCGCGCCGCGTGTGTTACGCAACCAGGGTTGCGCGGGGTTGACCGGTGTTGCATTGGCTTGCTCCTGAGTTGATGTGAGGTCGTGGCGTGCGCGCTGCTTGCATGCAGGGCCGTGTTCGTGCTTGCCTTTCTCTCGTGTGCTTGTGCTGCCGTTGGTTGGGTTTGAACTTGCTCTCTGTGTCATTTGCTGGAATAAACTTGATTCCCAGCTTGGTCTGATTTCTTAATGACGTTCAATCCTGAGAAAGGAACATCAAAAGAAACAGATCATGCCTTTCTGAATCGTGCTGGAAAGAAAGGGGAGAGGAAGAGAGAAAGGTAGACGGGAGGAGCTAGATAATAAGAGGGAGGGAGGGAGAGAGGGAGAGGGAGAGGGAGAGGAAGAGGAAGAAGGAGAGGGAGAGGAAGAGGGAGAGGAAGAGGGAGAGGAAGAGAGAGAGGGAGAGGAAGAGGGAGAGGAAGAGAGAGAGGGAGAGGAGAGAGGGAGAGGGAGAGGAAGAGAGAGAGGGAGAGGGAGAGGAAGAGAGAGAGGGAGAGGGAGAGGAGCGAGAGGGTGAGAGAAGAGAGCGAGGTATAGACGAGGAGCGGAGGAGGAAGAGGGAGGGAGAGGGAGGGAGAGGGAGGGAGAGGGCGAGGAAGAGGGAGAGGGAGAGAGAGAGGAAGAGGGAGAGAGAGAGAGGAAGAGGGAGAGAGAGAGAGAGGAAGAGGTGAGAGGAAGAGAGATGAGAGCGGAAGAGGGAGATGAGAAGAGAGAGAGAGATGAGAGAGAGAGAGTGAGAGAGCAAGAAAGAGAGAGAAGAAAAGTGAGAGCAAGAAAGAAGAGAGCAGAAAGAGAGAGGACGAGGGAGGGAGAGAGAGAGAGATGAGGAAGAGAGAGAGAGAGAGAGGAGAGAGAGAGAGAGAGAAGAGGAGAGAGAGAGAGAGAGCAAGAAAGAGAGAGGGAGAGGGAGAGAGGAGAGAGGGAGAGGGAGAGGAGAGAGGGAGAGGAGAGGGAGAGAAGAGGGAGAGGAAGAGGGAGAGAGAGGAAGAGATAGAAGAGAGAGCAAGAGGAGAGGGAGAGAGAGGAGAGAGAGAGAGAAGATAGAGAGAGAGAGAGAGGAGAGAGAGTGAGAGAGAGAGAGAGAGGAAAGGAGGGGGAGAGAGAGCGAGAGGAGAAAAAGGGAGAGACGAGCGAGAGAGAAAGGGGCGAGAGAGGAGAGAGAGAGGAAGAGAGAATGAGGAGAGGGCGAGGGAGAGGAGAGAAGATGGAGAGCAGAGAAGGAGAGGGAGAGGAGAGAGAGGAGAAGGAGAGGCGAGAGGAAGCAGAGAGAGAGAGAAAGAGAGAGGAGAGAGAGAGAGAGAAGAGAGAGAGACGAGAGAGGAGAGAGAGAGAGAGAGAGAGAGAGAGAGGAGAGGAGGAGAGAGGGAGAGAGAGAGAGAGAGAGAGAGGAGAGAAGAGAGAGAGGAGAGAGAGAGAGAGAGAGAGAGAGAGAGAGAGAGAGAGAGAGGTGGGGGAAGAAGAAAGAGAAGGAGAGAAATGGAGATAGAGAAAGAAATAGTTGAAAAGACAGCCAGAAAGTGATAGAAGGCGAGGCAGAGAAGCAAAGGCGGATAAAGACAGGCATCAGAGTGAGACAGCGAGGCAGAAGGCAGACGAACGAGGCAGAGAAGGCGAGACAGACAGGCAGTCAGGCAGGCAGCAGGCGGCGGGCAGCCAGGGCCTGCTGCCTGAGCGCCGGTGCGGTGCTCGTCGTTTGTTGTCGGTTTGTTATCGACCGAGTTTTTTCCCCTCACGCCCTGTTCCTTTATTGCTGCTCGCTGTTCCGTTAATCGAGAGCGCGAGACAAGAAACACGAGGCAAAGGAGGGTGCAGGAAGAAGACGCGAAGAGAGAGACGAATATATAGATAGATAAAGCGGGGAGGAAGTGAACAAAGAGAAAAGGCAGCAAGAAACGTGTGATGCCTTGGCTTCCCCGAAGGAGGCCAGGAGACAACCGCCTTGAGGGTCCCT